ATTTATTTTTCATCAATTTCAAAAATTTGACAGAGTCTCCTTTGTAATTTGAACGTTTCCCAATTTACAAATACATTCAAATCAAATTCATATAACACATTTTCCTGCATCAAATAAGAACAATATAAATTTGACAAGGGTACACATTGCGATCCATCAAATTTTTTTAAACTCTTGTTATTCTAATCTTGTGTCCCAAAATATCTTATTACACTATCATTCTCATATCATACATACTCATAAAATAAATACTAGGTCCAGAACTAAAGTTTTGTTTACACTTCTCTAGGAAGAAAAATCTATCATAAGCATTGGAAAAGTGTAACTTTGGAAAAAATCTTTGCCATCTAAAATAACTCCAAATTCTATGAAATTTTCCAGTCCAAAATACATATATTCTAGGATTATAATAAAAATTATAACTCAAAATTTAAATATTTCTAAGTCATTTAAAACTTTCCTCCCTTTTCATACGTTTTGAAGATTCCACTATCAGGGCATTACTCAAAGATATATTTTTATAAAATCAAATAATAGTCATAAAATTATGAAAATAAATATACTTAACATATACCTACAACCACAACTATGATAAAAAAATTATCTCAAAAAATATCAATTTCGATTTTATATGATTTTTCAAAGTTGCTGAACGGACATAGCAATTCTGTTTCACCCAACTCAAAACCTATTTACTTCCAAGATTTTTCATCGAAAATCAACTTGTCAGAAAATTGTGACATAAATCACAAACAAACTAGACATATAAAGGAACATGTAATCAAAATTTCAGAATTAAATACCAAGTAAATATTTTTACATAATTTCTCAAAGATTTTGTTCACAAGCAAATTTTTTCCCAGCAACATCTCTCAACACATATTTCATCATCTTCCTCTAGAAAAATCCAATTTTAATTGATTTTTATGGCTAACTCTAAGTTTTAGCATCCAAGGAATCCATTTCTAAACTCTAAAATATGAAAGGAGCATTGTAGAGTATCCAAATATACTATAACAACCATACGAAATTTTTATAAAATATTCTAATTTGGTTCCAATTCATGTAGAAGTGAGATAAATGGTGGTTTAGCCTAGCGTTGATGACAAGAAGACTCTCCTTTCCTCAAATGAAGCTTTCAAACAAGAAAATGGAGATCCGTAGTTCAAGAAAGGGTTTGTCTCCTATAAGCATCAAAATAACCATATTCTTGAGATTAAGAAGATTTTAGGAGATAATGTTGAAATTCAATGCTTTAATTTCATGAATCTTACTCTTAATTGCAAAAAGGATGAACCAAGATGGTGTGGGCAAGCAAAACCAAGTTTCTCTTCTTCCTCCCATGCTCCCAAAATGGCTTCCGTAAGTGAGAAATAAAATTGGTCTTTCTCTTCTTTAAATTTGACTTCCTTTCCAAAAGTACCCTCACTTACTTTTGCACTTACCAATTAAATCCTTTCATCAATGGGAAATTATATTACTAATTTTTCTTAATGATATTACTCTTATTATTATTACTTCATTTTAAACTCAATTCTAAATTTATCTATTTCACTCTATTACAAATTTCATAATATATATATATATATATATATATATATATATATATATATATTATTTATTAATGTCTTTAAAAATTATCAAGTCTTAAAATAACTCATAATACCATTTTATTAAAGTTAATGACAAAATATTTTATTATATTAATGAAATATTTTTGGGAAATACTTGGATGTTACAACAAGTGTCCTTCATTTCTTCTTGTGAAGGCTTGAGCTGGCAAAAATTGTGTACCATGAGAGATGATAGCTTCCTCTAATGGTCTTGTATCTATCCTATACATGGAAGAAATATGGTTATTAATTCTTACAATGAAGGTGATGTCTAAATGTAGATTTTCGCCCACCCAATTAGGTCCAAATCCTACTATTTGTACTTCTAGACTTATGTGATCAACAAAATCTAGAAGTGTTAGTGTAAAGTTTGATGCTAGGTATATCAATAAAAAAGGTTGATTTAAATCTACCTCTAAAATACCTATCACACTTTGTGAATCATTATTTTGGAATCTGGAGTCATGTAGAACTATCAAAGCTCTAGCTCCGATCATATACCTAGTCAAGGATCTAACTCCAATGGTAATCAATCCCATATGGGCATATCTTCCTTGTTGGCCTAGTAGTTGTCTACCAGTTTGTTGACATATCAATGAAATTATCTCATAAGTGTTGTCTGGAACATGAAAATATTTTATTCTTCTATATCGATAAAGGCTAGTCCTTTCTGAACTTAACCAACCGATATTATATAATTGTCTAGGATTCAAGGAATCTATCCTTGTGTTTGATCCTATCTCAGTATTTTGTTGGATATCTACTAAGTCTTCTAAATGTCTGACACTAGTAGATCTTTGTCTATTTAGGAATCTATCTAAAATTCCTGGATGTTGTATCAAGTTTTGACTCCTGATTTGATGTTCCTTAATCTTCTGAGAATTCTAGGAAATCTTTGCGTTTGGTTAGAATCTGTTGTATTACTCATATCAACAGTTTCCAATTGTGTTTGTGTGGAGATAATAAGTCATGTAAACATATTTAACTCACAGTTTTGTTTCTAGAAGAAGAAACTTCTTTTTTGTTGGTCTGATTTTTAAGACCATTTGTAGATACTTTAACAAATTTCTGTGTATTTATAGAAATTGTTTTAGTATATGTGTTAGTTCCTAAAGACAATTTAGAAACTTGGTTAATGAGATCATCTATCTCATTTGATTTGTTTGTGTTTTTGTTTAAATCTATTAAACAATTTAATTTTCTAGACACTTCCTCAAGAAGTGCTATTATAGTATTTATTTGTCCAATCAGAACTGTGTGTGTTGTCTACTTCTAGAGTAGGCTTTTTATATCCCACTAGAAGAGATTTTGTGATTTGTTCAACAACTAACAAAGCTGTTTTATAGTCCTTGCCTAAAAAAGGTTGCGGACTTTGTATACCTTCCATTAAAATTTTTAAATAAAAACAAAATTTAAAAAAAGGCAGAAAATCAGAGCACAAGAAAGAAAGCAGCAGAAATTGGAGGAGAATAAGGGGATCCATGGAATACACTCGTAAAACAATATTTATAAAAAAATATAGATAATCATAAGGCTTAAAAGAAAATCATTTTGTGGTTTTATTAATTTATATTGTTTTTGTTTTTTTTATCAAGAAAAATAACAAGAAAATAACAAAGATAAACAAGAAAGAAAAAACAAAAGATGTACAAGAAAATATTTTTGCAAAGAATGCCGCAATATGCAAAGTATTCTTCAACCTACGAAGGTAGCTTCACGGGACTTAGGATCTCGTGACACTCCCTGGCCTTAACCTGCCCTACTACTGGCTGGGTATCCTAGTGAATACAAACCAATTCAATTGCAAAAATATTCTGGTACTCGAGGATTTCTCACTCTGATACCAAAAAGGGGAGATAGGGCAGAAAAACCCAATATGGGAAAAATTGCTCTGATACCAAAAAGGGGGGACAAAGGCAGAAAAACCCAATATGGGAAAAACTGCTCTGAAACCACTTGAAAAAGGGGGAAAGAGGGACATGACGGAAAAAGAAATAATTAAAAACATATTATAACTCTTTATCTCTTCTATAGGAAAATAAACACACAAGTTCATGATAAAATTATGGGATGACTGAATCTGGCAGAGCCGGTTAGACATCTTCTCATAAGCTTATATGAACATAAAATCTATACAAATTTTTTAAGCATTTAAATGATTATCACATCTTTTAATAAATACTACTGAAGGCATCTAGGGACGCCTTTATAAGAAAACTACTCCATAAAAGGAAGTAAAAAAAAGCTTACTCGGGAGAGGGGAATGAGAAGGAGATAGTGAATATACTTCTTTTATTGATGGAGATAAATTTACATAAGAGTGACAGAGAGAAGGTAGAGAGAAGGAGGAGAGAGGAGAGGAGATTTCATAATTTGTTCAACAGCTGTCAGAGCTGTTTTGTAATCTTTATCTAGAATATTTTGTTCAACAGTTATCAACGCTGTTTAATAATTTTTTCCTAAACAAGGCTGTGTACCTTCCATTAATTTTTTTAAAATAAAACAAAATAAAAAAAAGGTAGAAAATGAGAGCGCAAGAAAAGAAAGCAGCAGATAAGTAGAGGAGAATAATGGGATCCATAGAATACATCTGTAAAATAATATTTATAAAAGAATATATTATATCTTTTTGTGATTTTATTAATTTATATTATTTTTGTTTTTTTTATCAAGAAAAATAACAAAAAAATAACACAGATAAACAAAAAAGAAAAATAAAAAGATATTGGCGGGATCCTATTATTATTATTATTATTATTATTATTATTATTATTATTATTATTATTATTATTATTATTATTATTATTAGTTTTATCATTTTCGGCTTAATTCCATGCGCTAAGATTTTTTCTTTTTTAAGGAAAATTCTTTGTTTTTAATTTACTGTTAGTATATTTATACGTTAGTTTTATCATTTTCGGCTTAATTCCATGCGCTAAGATTTTTTCTTTTTTAAGGAAAATTCTTTGTTTTTAATTTACTGTTAGTATATTTATACGTGCCTCATGTCATTTTCGTGCAACTTTCTTTCACGTAATTAAAAATAGAATAGTCAAAATTCTGAACAGGTGAAAATTACGAAGAAATATCCCCGAAACTTAGTCCCACTGGGAACACCCCATCAATTGTAGAAACAAAGTTCTCTTCTACTTTCTCTCTCCAGCAAGCTCAGAATCTTTCCAACTATGCTCTGAGCTATTTTATTCATTGTAGTTTCTTCTTTTTGTCTTTCTCCTCCTTGTCTTTGGTAAGTTCACTCTGATAAAATTTGATTTTTTTTTTCTTCTTTTGTGGTTGCTATTTTTACATTTGTTAAGTGGATTCTATGTGGGTGTGAACTCGGCATAATCATAGGAATGATGGGTGTTTGTTTCTCTGAGAGCCCATATGAAAGTTATGTGCTTTGATGACAACATGGTGTGGTTTTTGTGGGATTTTAGTTATCAGTTTTGACTTGTTGTGTTGCTTTCACTCTCTTCTGTTTCAGGCTTTGTAGTTGTGGTTGAGGACAGGGCCTGTTTCTGTGGTTGAAGCTACTTGTTTCTTGGATGAATTTTGTTCCTCCTTAATGCATATATTGTAATTGACTTTTTGTTTTGTTGAGGGTAAGAAATAAAATCATTTCAGTTGTATATGTGAAGTTATGGAGCTTTGTTTCCCTTTGTAAATTGTAATTATTGGGCTTGACCAGTTTTCGATTGGGGTTATGGAAGGAAGAATCTTCTCTGATGAGGGTAACAAAAAATCCAAAATTCAGTTGAAAGTTTTTGTTTTGGACATTTTTGCATCCATTTAAGCATGGTAATTCATGATCCTAAATTTGATCATAATTTTATGTAATTCCAAAAAAAATTGTTGCAATTCTTCGTGGTTTGATTACAAGAGATAGTTGACTTTATCATGCTCACAGCTCTAACTTGCTGTGTTCATTGTAAGATCAATCAAATGCTTAATTTACTTTAATTGGGAGTCTTTTTACATTTCTTGTTCATATTGTGTTTCTTTTAGGCAAATTTTTCAAACAAGCATTTTTTGCTGTCCAGAATAATAAATATCATGAAACTACATGGTCGGTGACACGAAGTTGGGGTTTGATTTTATGTTGCTCCCTTTTCTTGTTCTAACTAGTTGGAGTTTGCTATTCCTTATCTATCTCAGATTTACCATTTGGCTTTTTTTAAGGATATACTTATAAACATTGAGCATGTGGTGTGCTGCCAAAATACTTCATCACAATAGCCTAAATGTTCATGACTTGTTAGCTGCTTACTTTTGTTGTCAATTTTATTACCCATTTTTAACTTCATTTGTGACTATAATCTTTGATGCAGGTCTCTTCAAATGTAAGTGTCTAGTGAAAGAAAAAGTATGTCAAATGGAACAACATACTGGTGTTATACATGCAGGCAGCCAATATGGCTTGAAGGTAGGGATGCCATTTGCCCTTACTGCGATGGAGGCTTTGTGCAAGAACTTTACGAGCTGCTGCGAGCAGTTTCACGCCAACGCGGATTTTCGTCCGGAATGGAAGATTTTCGTCAAATGCCTAACATTCTGGATGCTGTAAGAGCTGTTATGGAGCAAAGAGGTTCTGAGTCCAGAACTGGAATGAGAATGGCTGGAAGCTACACAAACTTTGATGTTAGAATGAGGTATGGTTCCACCCCACTTCCTTATCCCTTGGGCAGTCTTTAGCTCTGGTCCTTATCTGATATTTCATGGTCAACCTCCCGGGTTCACTGTGTCTGTTAGAAATTAATAACAATTGCACATGATTAAATATAGTCTCATACATTGATCTAAATGATAAAGTCCAATCTTCTTTATTGGAAGTTGATATATTGCATTGTAGTTTTCTTTTAATGGTCCTATTTATGATAATACATAATCCTAAAGAAACACCTTTGTAATACAACATTTGAGATGTATTGTTGTATTATTGTACTGTTATTTTGTTCTCAAGTTTAAATTTATCTTTTACTCCAAACAATTCAGTCTTCTATTATGGTATTAGAGCTTCATTTGGAAATTTTCTGATACTTTCGTCTCACCATGTCTAAAATAGTGGTGTTACCTCGATCAAAATTCGTCTGGTCCCTACTACATTCACCCGAGTGAAAGGCCCTCATTAGTTGTTGTAATACCAGTTCTCACTGAAAATAACTACCACACATAGTCTAGATCCTTTCGTATGACTCTTATTTCCAAAAATAAGATGAATTTGTTTTTTGGTGCGGTTCCTAAACCAGATTTCACTGATCCTCTGTTTATTGCGTGGGATCGTTGCAATACTTTGATAATGTCATGGCTGTTGAACTCTATGTCTCGGGCAATTGCACAAAACGTTATTTTCTTTGATCTTGTTATAGTTGTATGGAATGATTTGAAAGAATGTTTCTCCCAGGATAACTTGTTGTGCATTGTTGAGTTGCAAGAGGAGATCTATTGTGGTCGCTCTGGGTACACTATCAATGAGTGTTATGTGAAGCATGAGTATCCTCTCGATCATCTAAAGTACCCTAGGAAGTCTTGCTTCTATAATCAAGCCTCTGTTTCAGTGAATAACACTAAGATATGTTTTGATAAGACTCTAGTAAAAAATCAAAGGTTAATTGCTGTCATTTATTAGCCTGGTAACTTAAGAAGCTTAGGCCCATATGACACACAAGTCATGTCATTGTCTTTCATGCTTCACAAATTGGCCAAAATACTCCTCTAAGTCCAAATTTTGATAACAACATTTTCACTCCTCGGATAATTGATTTAGGAGAAAATAATCATATTACTTCATCTTTAGATAAGTTTCAAACTCATTTTAATATAAAACCCATTCACATCAAATTGTCCAATGGGAATTTTGTTACATCTTGTGTTTTAGGATCTATTCATTTTTCTCCAAATTTTATTATTCATAATGTCCTTTTTATATCACATTTTAATTTTAACCTTCTTTCTAATTCTAAATTAATTTTCAACTTACCCTACACACATTTTTTTTCTAATGATTCTTGCAAAATTTAAGATATGAAATTATTGAAGATGATTGGTTTGGGTAAGTTGCAAGGAGGCCTTTGTCATCTTTGCATTAACAATGATACCTCATCTTCAAAACCTAAATCTTCCCTAGTGAACAACACCTTCTCTACCATCACTACCTCAAACATTGGTTATTATAGATTAAGTTATTTGTCTGAAAATAGATTGGATATTTTACACCAATAATTTTCTTTTGTTTATTGTCAATGAAACTTATGATATTTGGCATTTAGGTAAACAAAAAAAGGTTGTCTTATTCATCAAGTATCAGTGGTGGAGCATTGAAAATTTTTGAGCTGGTTGATATGGATATTTGGAGATCCTTTTCTCAAGCTTCCATACATGGTGACAAATATTTTCTAATAATTCTTGATGATTATAGTCATTACACATGGATTGATTTGTTATTTGCATGTGAAAAATTTATTCATCTTATTGAAAATCAATTTAAATCAAAGGTTAAGAATATTTGTTCTGACAATGGATTTGGAATTTTTGTTAAGGGAATTTTTTGCATTAAAGGGGATTTTATATAAAAAAAAGTTGTGTTAAGATCCCCCAACAAAATGATAAGGTTGAAAGAATACATCAACAAATACTCAATGTGGCAAGAACCCTCGTGTTTTAATCTCATATTCCTAGTCATTTATGGTCTTGTGCCATTAAACATATTGTTTACTTAATTGGGTTTCATCACTAATCAATTGGAACAAAAGTCCCTTTAAAAGTTTTATATAGTCAAGTCCCAAATTTTCAAGAACTTAAGGTTTTACATAAGAAAATGTTGCAAATTGTCATAAATTTGATCCATGATCTAGACGTGAAGTTTTCTTAGGTTTTCAAAATGGCACAAAGGGTTACATTGTGCTAGACTTAGATACAAAAGAGATTTTTGTTTCCAGACATGTGATTTTTTATGAATCTAATTGGCCTTTTCAAGATGAAATAAACCATGTAGAAAGTCTTTTTTCAAATATTCAAACTAAAGATTTTCTTAATAGACCTCTCATTAGTATGTCCATTGAATTGCCATTTACACCACCTCAACTACATCCTAGTGAGCTCATTCCTCAACACTCATGTGCAACCTACCAATGAATCAATCTTAATTACTGAGTCCACTAATGTGTCATTTACACCACCTCAATTACATTGCCAATTCCCTAACACTCATTTGTCCAACTTACTAATGAACCAATGTCTGACTTACCCTCAGTCGACATTGTGTCATTCAACTCAGACACATAAGCTACTTCTTCCCTTCTCTGACTATCATTAGAGCTTCCTTACCCAATCATCAACAAAATATTTGTATCCTCTCTGTTTTGTCATGTCTTATTCTCACATTTCTTCCTCTCATCATCATTATCTAATGACTTTGTCATTTGAATATGAGCCAATGAGTTATCAAGAGTCTCTCCAAAATGAATGTTGGCATGAGGCAATGAAATCTGAGATGGAGAGACTTAAATTGAGTAAAACATGGAATATTGTGGATATACCTCCAAACATCCATCCCATTGGATGCAAATGGGTCTACAAAATTCAGAGGAATCATGATGGGAGTGTTGAATGATATAAAACTCGATTGGTTGCAAAAGGATATGCTCAAATAGAGGGGATTGATTATCTTGAAACTTTTTCACCTGTGGTTAAGATGACTACCATTCAAATCATTCTTGCTGTGATTTTTGCTAAGGAATTGCATCTTCATCAATTGAATATAAGTAATATATTTCTTCATGGAGATTTGAACGAAGAGGTGTACATGACTCCTCTCCTTATATTGACAACATTTAACCTTCTCAATGCTACAAACTTTTGAAATCTATATATGGATTTAAGCAAGTAAGTCGCTCGTAGTATGAGAAATTATTAGTACTATTCTTATCTTATGGATATTGTCAAGTTCATTTAGATCATAGTCCCTTTACCAAGGTACAGGGAAGCATATGTCAACCACATTATATTCACTGGAAATCATATTGAAAAATTTCAAATATCAAGGGAATTCTCCATTCACTCTTTCGAATAAAACATCTTGGGGTGTTAAACTACTTTCTTGGGTTGGAGGTAGCACACTCATCCAAAAGTATTTCATTGCGTCAGAGAAAATATTGTCATGAATTATTGCATAATTATGATTTATTAGGTTCAAAACCAACTGTAGACCTCAAATCTTGCCCGTCTTCACAATAGAGCCAGAAGACCTCTATTTCAAGATAGGCAAATCCTTTAGACTCCATAATTAGGATAGGAGGACTTCCTGTACACAGAAAATAAGAGAATTTTTGCCCAGAAGCCCGAGACAACCGTCCCAATTGGCGAGACGGACGTCTCGAGTCTAAAGTGGCAAGACGGTCGTCCCGACTGGCGAGACGGCCGTCTCGCCTGACAAGGGTTGAGACGGCCGTACCGGTCTGACAGACACGAATTCCTATAAATAGGGGTCTTCTCCCCCTCGTTTTCAACAACTTTTCACCTGAATTTATCCTCCAATACTCTTCTTAAACCTCTCTGAATCATTTCCAGAGTTCGAGTGTTCTTTTTAGACACTCTATAGTTAGAATCTTTCTGTCGATAGAGGAGTGAGCAGCGTTGTAGAGTGAGGGGATAACCAAAAAACATCCTCAATCTTCGAACACTTAATACAAAACTTGCTTCAGAGGTTTCTTCTACATACTCTCTTTTATTGCTTTCTTTATAGCTTCCCTTGTATGCATATTAAATATTAGAGCCATGTAGACGTTTAATTTCTGCAAGTAGATGAAATAATAAGGGTAAAAGCGTAATTTCTTTAGTCTTAATTTTATAAGCTAGTCCATCACAGGGAACCCGAAAGGGGCGATGTGGGGTGCTAACACGTTCCCTACACGTAACTAACTACCTTACCCGACTCTGGTTGTAATGGCTAAAGTTGGTTTTTTTTCTAAAACCACTGCCTTTTTACCTTTTTCAATGTTTAAGGTCAAAACACTTGTGGCGACCCCATAAAAAAATGCGAGTCATACAAAAAATCATCGCGTCGCTCCGACCGCCTTTTTTGATGGTGGTGACAGATGATGACTCCGCTGGGGAAGCTAGAGAGTTGATCCCATTTAGTGATGGACAAGTTTAAATAAATAAAACTTGAAATTATGTTTTTACCCTTTCTTGCCTTTATAACATGCTTTACTGTTTGACTTTGATAATTGTTGTCTATTTACTTTATGCGATTATTTGAAATAAACAACTGTACACAAACCCTTGCACACAACAGTTCCCTCTATACCCGGGGGCAAGTGGGATAATATTAAGGAGTGAGTGATAGGTACGATTTGCTGTAGTGATGGCCATGAGCCCACCGGTATGGTCGGAAACCTCCACTCAAGGTGATAACCTTCCTCTTTTGGCTTAAAGACTGACAAGGCCCTAGTGTCATGCATGGTCTGAGGGCTAGAAGAGTGAGAACCCTATAATGGGGGCACCTCGGGGGCTTGACCTTGGTGAGGATAATTAGAACCACCCTGAATACACACTTTTCTGCAGGATAATCCTACCTCGTGATAAAAACGTCATCACACTGTTCGCGGATGAGTGACTTGTTTGTGCATTTGTTTGTTGCATAACATAATCATACAACAACAAAAAATAAAAACAAAATCTCAAAAACCTTTTCA